GCAACCACAGATGGCACTCAGGGAGCCGGCCAGTGCAGGTGGGTGGAATCCAAGAGGCACAGGGGTGAAGCCGGTGCTTCCTGGCCAAGACACTGTGGCTGCAGGAAGCAGAGCAGGCCTAGTCGGGGTGACGAAGGGTAGGGGGTGGGAAAGCGTATATCGCTGGTTACTGGTTGTTGACTCCTGCTGGGAGTTCTGTGAAGCTGCTTTCCCATCTGTACTCCCTGTTCACCGATCTCCAAGTGGCAGATCCGTGCTGCGTTAGCTGATAGGAGACCTCTGCGTGTATCTCTTCTCGTTCTCTGTTCTCTGTCAGTTTCTTATTCCATTCGGTGCTTGGCTGTGTTCCTTATCCCTTCATTTGATACTTAGAGTTTCAGGATTGGCGTTTGTTTGACTTAGTTTTTCGGATCTTTGCTGTGGAGTGATGGCGTGGTGCTTTTGTCTATAGCACCATGTCCATGTTGCCTGGAAGTAGACACTTTTTTTAAAAATTTTATTGTGCTTTGGGTGAAAGTTTACAGTACAAATTAGTTTCTCATTCAAAAATTTATACACAGATTGTCTTGTGACGTTGATTGCACCCCCTGCAATGTGTCAGCACTCTCCCCCTTTCCCTTTCTGCCCCGGATTCTCTGTGTCCATTTGTCCAATTTTCCTGTCTCTTCCTGCCTTCTTGTCTTTGCTTTTGAGCAGGTGTTGCCTATTTGGTCTTGTATGCTTAATTGAACTAAGAAGCACATTTCTCATGTGTGTTTTTGTTTTATAGGCCTGTCTAATCTTTGGCTGAAAGGTGGACTTTGGGAGTGGCTTCAGTTCTGAGTTAGCAAGGTGTCTGGGGACCATAGTCTTGGGAGTTCCTCCAGTCTCTGTCAGACCAGTAAGTCTGGTCTTTTTTTGTAAATTTGAATTTTGTTGTACAGTTTTCTCCCACTCTTTCCAGGACCTTCTGTTGTGATCCCTGTCAGAGCAGTCGGTGGTAGCTGGGTACTGTCTAGTTCTTCCGGGCTCAGGCTGGTGGGGGTTGTGGTTCATGTGGTCCATAAGTAATTTGGAGTAATATTTTCCTTGTGTCTTTGGTTTTTTTCATTCTCTTCTGCTCTGGACAGGATGGGATTGGTAGATGTTTCTTAGGTGGCCACTTGCAACCTTTTAAGACTCTAGATGCTACTCACCAAAGTAGGATGTAGGACATTTTCTTTATGAACTATGTTATACCTATTTTTCTTGATATCCCCTGAGACTATGGTGCCCAGCTCTCAGCCCCAGTAACTTGGTCCCTCAAGGTGTTTTGTTGTGTCTAGTAAGCTTCTGTGACTTTGCCTTGGTCAAGTTGTGCTGACTTCCCCTATATTGTGTGCTGTCTTTCACTTCACCAAAGTTAACACTTGTCTACTATCTAGTTAGGGGTTCCCCCTTCCCATCCTCCCCTCCCTCGTAGCCATCAAAGATTGTTTGTGTGTGTGTGTGTGTGTGTGTGTGTGCAAACCTTTTCCTGAGTTTTTATAGTAGTGGTCTCATACAATATTTGTCCTTTTGTGATTGACTTATTTTACTCAACATAATGCCTTCCAGATTCATCCATGTTGGGAGATGTTTCATAGAGTCATCATTGTTCTTTATCGTTGTGTAGTATTGCATTGCGTGTATGTACCATAATTTTGTTTTATCCGTTCATCTGTTGATGGACACTTAGGTTGTTTCTGTCTTTTTTGCTGTTGTGAATAATGCTGCAGTGAACGTGGGTGTGCATGTGTCTGTTCGTATGATGGCTCTTATTTCTCTAGGATATATTCCTAGGAATGGGATTGCTGGATCCTGTGGTATTTCCATTTCTAGCTTTTTAAGGAGGCGCAATATAGTTTTCCATAGTGGTTGTACCGTTTTACATTCCCACCAGCAATGCATAAGAGTTCCATTCCCCCCCTCAACTTCTCCAACATTTGTTATTTTCTGTTTTTTTATTAGTGCCAGTAACGTCGGAGTGAGATGGTATCTCATTGTAGTTTTTATTTGCATTTCTCTATGACTAATGATTGCGACCATTTCCTCATGTGTCCGTTAGCTGCCTGAATGTCTTCTTTGGTGACATGTCTGTTCAGATCCTTTGCCCTTGTTTTAAATGGATTATTTGTCTTTTTATTGTTGAGGTGTTAAAGTATTTTATAGATTTTAGAGATTAGGCCCTTGTCGGATATTTTGTAGCCAATTTTTTCTTCTCCCCAGTCTGTAGGTTCTCTTTTTACTCTTTTGGTGTGAAGTCTTTTGATGAGCATGTGTTTAATTTTTAGGAGCTCCCAGTTATCTAGTTTATCTTCTGGTGTTTGTGCATTGTTAGTTATGGTTTGTATTGTTTTATGCCATGTGTTAGGGCCCCTAGTGTTGTCCCTATTTTTTCTTCCATGATCTTTATCGTTTTAGGTTTTATATTTAGATCTCTGATCCATTTTGAGTTAGTTTTTTGTGTGTGGTGTGAGGTATGGGCCCTGTTTCATTTTTTCATAGATGGACATCCAGCTTTACCAGCATCATTTGTTAAAAAGACTGTCTTTTTCCCATTTAATGGACTTCGGTCGTTTGTCAAAGACCAGCTTCTCATAGGTGGATGATTTATGTCAGGGTTCTCAATCCTGTCCTATTGGTCTGTGTGTCTCTCGTGGTACCAGTACCAAGCTGTTTTGACTACCGTGGCTGTACAGTAGGTTATGAGATCAGGTAGTGTGAGGCCTCCTACTTTATTTTTCTTCTTCAGTAATGGTTTGCTTATCCAGGTCCTCTTCCTTTTCCCCGTAAAGTTGGTGATTAGTTTTTCCATCTTGTTAAAGAATGCTGTTGGTATTTGGGTCGGGATTGCATTATATCTGTAGATCACTTCGGGTAGAATTGACATTTTCACAATGTTGAGTCTTCCTACCCATGAGCATGTTATGTTTTTCCATTTACGTAGGTCTCTTTTGGTTTCTTGCAATAGTGTTCTGTAGTTTTCTTTGTATAGGTCTTTTATGTCCCTGGCTAGATTTATTCCCAAGTATTTTATCTTTTTAGGGGCTGTTATAAATGGTATTGTTTTCCTGATTTCCTTTTTGAAGTTCTCTTTGTTAGTGTATAGGAATCCAACTGATTTTTGTATGTTGATCTTGTATCTTGCCACTCTGCTGAATCTATTACTTCCAGTAGTTTTCTTGGGGAATCTTTGGGGTTCTCTATATATAGTATCATATCGTCTGTGAATAGAGATAGTTTTAGTTCTTTCTTTTGAATTTGGATGCCATTTATTTCTTTTTCTTGCCTTATTGCTCTAGCTAGGACTTCCAGCACCGTGTTAAATAGGAATGGTGATAAAGGGCATCCTTGTCTTATTCCGGTTCTCATGGGGAATGCTTTCAGCCTCTCTCCATTGAGAATAATGTTGGCTGTTGGTTTTCTATAGACGCCCGTTATTATGTTGAGGAATTTCTCTCCTATTCCTATCTTACTGAGATTTTTCTCAGGAATGGGTATTCGGCTTTATCAAATGCCTTTTCTGTATCAATTGAGATGATCATGTGATTCTTTTCTTTTGTTCTATTTATGTGGTGGATTACAGTGATTGATTTTCTAATGTTGAATCATCCTTGTATACCTGGTATGAATCCCACTTGGTCGTGGTGTATTATTTTTCTATATGATGCTAGAATCTCTTGGCTAGAATTTTTTGAGAATTTTTGCATCTATATTCATGAGAGATATTTGTCTGTAATTTTCTTTTTTGTGGTGTCTTTGCCTGGCTTTTGTATCAGGGTTATGCTGGCTTCATAGCATGAATTCTGTAGTATTCCTTCCTTTTCTGTGCTCTGAAATAGTTTGAGTAGTACCAGTGTGAGCTGTTCTCTGAATGTTTGGTAGAATTCTCCAGTGAATCTGTCTTAGTCATCTAGTGTTGCTGTAACAGAAATACCATAAGTAGATGGCTTTAACAAAGAGAAGTTTATTCTCTCACAGTCCAGTAGGCTACAAGTCCAAATTCAGGGCATCAGCTCCAGGAGAAGGCTTTCTCTCTCTGTCGGTTCTGGGGGAAGGTCCTTGTGATACATCAGTCTTCCCTTGGTCTGGGAGCATCTCAGTGCAGGAACCGCAGGTCCAAAGGATGCGCTCTGCTCCCAGCACTGCTTCTTGGTGGTGTGAGGTTCCCATGTTTCTCTGCTCGCTTCTCTGTTTCATATCTCAAAAGAGATTGGCTTAAGGCACTATCCAATCTTGTAGACCTCATCGGTGTAACTGCCGCTAATCCATCTTAGTACATCATAGTGATAAGAGTTTACAACACATAAGGAAATAACATCAGATTACAAAATGGTACACAATCATACAATACTGGGAATCATGACCAGCCAAATTGATACACACATTTTTTGGGGGACATAATTCAATCCACGACAGAATCCATCTGGGCCAGGGCTTTTTTTGTTGGGAGTTTTTTTTTTTTTTTTAAATTACCTCTTCAATGTCTTGTTATAAGTCTGTTCAAATTTTCTCAGTTTGTGTTAGTTTAAGTAGGTAGTGTTTTTCTAGAAATTTGTCCATTTCCTCTAGGTCCTCAAATTTGTTGGAGTACAGTTTTTACAGATGACGTGTTTTTCAGGAATGCTGAGTACTTTGATGCTTCGGTATCAATTAGAATGTATAGTCTTTGAGGATAGAGAATAGTCTTTTTCTACATACTAGTGCTCAAAGGAGCCCTAGTGGTGCAACAGTTAAGTGCTTGGCTGTTAACTGAAAGGTTGACAGTTCAAATCCAGCAGCTCCACGTGAGAAAGACCTGGCTAGTTCCATAAAGATTATAGCCTAGAAAACCCTATTTGGGCAGTTCTGCTCTGTCACATGGGGTTGCCAAGAGTCAGAGTTGACTCAGTGAATGGCACACAACAACAACAGTGCTCAAAAAATCTTTCCTGATTGATGAGCAGATTGCCTGAGGAGTACTGATGATGCTTTCGGGGACTTGTGTTTATTCCCTCCAGGGGAGCCAGGAAGTGGGACAGAAAGTGATACCTCTCCAGACTTCCACAATCAGGAAAACGAGCCCAGCCGGGAGGACCCTGAGGATCTGGATGGATCTGTGCAGGGAGTGAAACCTCAGAAGGCTGCTTCTTCCACTTGCTCAGGGGGTCATCACAGCAGCCATAAAAAACGAAAGAATAAAAACCGGCACAGGTACGTGGCAGTGCCGCCCCCCGGGCGTCCGTGGCCGTTGCTGTCAGGTGACTTTCTTAGACTGAAACTCCTTAGGATTGTTGCAGAGTCTTTCTCTTGCTGATGGGAAGGAGTTCCTTTGGTCTAAAAGAAACGAGCTGATTTTCTCTCTTAGGGAGGAGTTGGTGGGCATTAGAGTAACCATGAAGGAGGACTCCGGGACATCCTTCTCATTCTTTGTAGTGCAAGAGAATTTTATTCCCTTAAAATTTTATTTCGTATGGTGAATTTGGAATCCTTTTAGATGAGAAATAGGGGAAATAGAAATGGAATCTGTGTAATAGTATTTGAAAAATGCCACTAAGACTTGTAGGAAAACTGCAAAGTGGGTTAAAGTCTTTTGCTCTTAATCCTGATCCCTGCCTCCTCTCATTCCCTTGTGGATGGAGAGAACTGATCTGTTATGCCTTTTTTGCTTTTTTAAGTATAAGTTTTTGATTGCTTATGATTTCTCTGTTTTTATGTATCTCTACAGTATATTGATTTGGAAGAACAATATAAAGTCCATAAAATATGAGAATGCCTTCCTAGATAACATTGTCCACCATGTTTCTTTGCAGTGTGTAATGAGATAGGAGTGACATCAGTGGACAGAGAGGTCAGGTGTCGCCCAGAGAGGATTTTAGCATTCACTCTGCCTGGGGTTTGTATGATAATGCTGGGACCTATTAACGAAGATAATTGGAAATTATGCAGATGTACTCAGAGAGGGTATTACTTAGTTTCTAGAGTAAAGAATCTTGCCCTGGCCTCAGACCTTCTGGGAGGCATGGAAACCAGGTACCCATAGGCTGGCTTTTGTTCCGCTCCTATTGGAAATCTGCATGTGGAGGAGGTGGAGGGGGCATGCAAGAAATGGGTGGGATCGCGCTCCAGTTTCCCTCTGGGTTGGATTGCTTTACAAACGTGAGGATATTCCTTCATGCACCCAAGGTATGAAAATTGTTAGCTTTGTGGATATGGCACGTGGGGATCATGTAAAATTAACCTATCTTGTTTGAACTTCTTTGGCATCAGCTGATTGATCTTTTATTCTTTTAAGAGTTTTTCTCATTGATGACTGTTGTTTTTCAGACTGTAAAAACAGTATTTCCTCCAAATAGTGAATAAGGACTGCTGCTTCCTTAACATTTTTCTGCAAAACAAAGTTACCATGCTAATCTTATAACTGTAGTGAGAAATAGCAAAAACTGCATGCTTTTTTTTCTTTGTAGGGCTAGAGGTTGTTTGACTATTGTGATAGGACTGGTGATAGCTTATCACAAACGGTAGCATAGAATCATACTCTTAGAAATAGTTTTTTGAATTCAGGATAATTAAATGTCATGCTCTGTATTGCTTTCATTAAGGTTACTCCACTATCATTTTTAAGGAATGATTCTTTTCCTATTTCAGAGTGTCTAGAGTAGGGGGAAAAATTCCTTGAAGGCTTCTGGGACTTTTTTTCCCTGTTACTACTGCTAGAGACTCTAAATAGCTATTGTTTATTTCAGGTAATACAACATTTTCATTAATGGCAGGATCAGCTGATGACTGATAAAGGGAGTTAGGCCTTAAACTTAACTTTTCTCCTTACAGACTTTCAGTGAATTTCCATAGGAAAATACTTCATAATACCCTTTCCTCTCCTGGCCCAACAAGATAACTCTTCCAGAAAAATACTGGGATTAATGAAGATCTTTGATGTCAACTATTGCTTTCAAAAATGGTGTTTTCTCTTTGGAAAGCAGGACCTTGCTTTCATAGCTGTTCTTTTGTCTCGCCCCTGTTTTAGTATCTGGTGGTCCCCTCCCTTTGTCTTCAGCACTTGCTGCCTCCTTTCCAGGGAAGCCAGGTTCTAGGGGGCACCAGAGTGCCATTTAAGGTTCTTGGATTCCTGCCTTCTCTAGTCTGGAATTGTGTCTGGCCCAGACTCCTCGCCCCCTGACTCATGTCTTGGTGGGGCTGACAGATCAGGGGTGAGGGTAGAGCACTTTGTACATGTTTCTAAGTTTGCACCCAGGACAGTACTTGTTTCTCCTCCAGTGTGTCACACCCACGTAGTCAAGTCAAGTCAATAGTAGATTATTTCAGCAAATGTTTGATGACTCACTATGTGCCAGGCACTGTTTAGTGGTGAACAAAGCAAAGTGGAAACAAATATGTTACTTTAGCGGAAGGGAATAACTTCTGAATTTGTCCTCTTCAAGAATATGAAAACTAACAAATAGTTTTTAGAGTTCATAAATGAGCACAGTGTTCCGAATTCTTATATTTTACATGATATCTGAACAGTAATTAAATCCCAGTGTCTTTAAAGAAAAAACTTGAAATGGTAACTTTCTGCTGCTCTTACAGGTTTTTACTACTACACCAAACCCTAGTAGTTTGTGAACTTTTCATTAGCTAGGTACAGTCTATTTTGACTTAGTGAACCAAGTTAAGTTAGACTGAAAGGAAAGTATTTGCTAACTCCTGCTTTCTGAACTTATTCTATGTATACTCTTTCCTAAATGTCTTAAGTAAAACTGTTACCTGAGGGATGTTGAAATTTAAGCTTTCTTCCCACTTCACCACACAAACATTCTGGCTAGGAGGAAAACGTAGCTATTTGCATTTTGTTTTACCACCTGTCTACAGCCTGGAGTAGAAGTGCCCTGTAGAATATCTAAGGAGCAGCTGGTGGATTCGAACTGCTGACCTTTTGGTTAGCAGCCAAGCTCCTGTGGCACTGCGCCACCAGGACTTCTTTCTGTGAGAATGGCACAGGACCAGGTAGTGTTTCGTTCTGTCGTACATAAGGTCGCTCTGAGTCGGAAACAACTTGACGACACCTAACAACAACAGCAACACGGTGTGGAAGGTATTGGTACCAGCTAAGGAGCTGGTGTCATGCTCCGGGTTAATGTTTGCTTTGAAGGTCTGCCGAGACCACCGTCTGCCAGCAGCCATGGCACAAGATGGCCTCCTCCTCTGTACTGCCCCCATCCAGATCCCTGAGTTTGGGGGTGCTTGTGGATGTCCACTTTCCTTTGTTTTAGTAGGGGCTTTGCAGACTTTGGTGTGCCTTAATTGTAGCCCTCACCTAAACAGTTAACTGCCATCACCAGTTCGGGCCCAGAGTAATGGAGCTCTTCAGTTTCTGGGACAGGATCTGCCACTGAAGTTTATTCATTCAACTCTTGGCTTCTAGGGTGAATGCCGTAGAAAAGGAGCACCATGTTCCCTGGACATGTTTAGAGCATGTAACTTGAGTAAAATGTTGCAAAATGTTTTCTTTTTTCAAAGTTTAGAATGTTACTGTCATCTTTAGTTTTAGTGGAGGTGTATTAATGCTGAGTTGTTAGTACTGTCTTCAAAGCACCTTTCATTGTATGACTAAACCCTTCTTTCTCTGTTTCTTCTAATGCCCTAATTATATTTTTTTTTTCATTACAATTGAATATTTAAAAAGTTTTAACTCTGGCAGCTAATAAAAGGACTCCAGGTGTCTGTAGTTTTCTAATGAAATAACTTTTCCTTTCATAGTCTATTCTTCCGATATGAAATCCATTGAGGAAAGGGGATCTCCTGACCACAAAATCTTTGGTGCTTTGATAATTGAAACTTTATGGCTTAAGATTCCAAAAGCTGATTTTGTTTCTACAAATCTTGCTAGGGTGGCTAATTGACTAATTTATTCAATTAGTATATTAATTTCTATTGCTTTCTTCCTTTCAAATGCTGCCCCTCAGCCCGTCTGGCATGTTTGATTATGACTTTGAGTAAGTCTGATTTGAATTAGTATTTGTGCTGTGTTGTTTAGTGTGTAGACACCAGTATGCCTTTTTGAGACCTTTCTAACCCATAGTTTATCTGTTTAATTGTAGGTATGTATATTAGGTTAGGCTGGGAAGTTTTTTTTAAAAACAGAAAAACGTGATGGAGGTAACATTTTATTTAATAACTTAAGCAAAATTAAGTAAACTTCACTTTTATGCATTTTATTTTTAAATAGACAGCCTTTAATTCAGATTTAAGTTGATTTCTGGCTTTGCTTCATAAGGAGATTAATAGTTTAAGATCTGACATTTTGGAAAGATATAAAAATTGAAATTCATTTAATTTCTTTTGTGTTTCTTGTCCAGAAATACAAACTCCTAGTCTCTTTCCTGATCTTAATCACCACGTGTCTCAGTAATTATTGGTGATAGAGTTACAGAGCTAACACATTAATGTAGAGCATGCCCTCTTAATCCGATCTCTTTAACATGTAATTTTGGAATAATTAAAGAAAATTATATGGCTATGTTTCTTTCTGAGTCATCTCAGTTTGCCTTGTGGCAAGAATATCTGCTCATATTTTTAAACTGATACTTGCTTAATAACATCTGGGTAAACAACTAAATATGGCATAGTCTGACGAAGAATGTGGACTTTACTTAACCAAATAGTCTTTGTTATAGCTTGTACCCTATGCAGTAGTTGACTCTTGGACCTTTTCTCTGTAAACTAAAATGCAACTATCTTTTATCTTTCCTATCACAGGATTGATCTGAAGTTAAACAAAAAACCGCGAGCTGTAAGTATCAGCCAGGCTGTTTCAGAGAGACTGGCAGTTTTGTAGATGATTATATAAAAAGTCGTTCCAGTCTTCAGAGGTGGAGTGTTCCTAATTTGGGGTCACAACTCTAGTTTTCACATCTGGAGTGTCCACCTGGATAGACTTTAACTTTTAGGTGTTAACTTCTGTTTTGGAGAGAGGAAGAGATTATACACATTTTTACTGAGAAACATTCCCTTTGATTAAACAATAAATTAAAAACGCTGGCCTTTATTGACTGGTGAGCTCAGGTAGTTTAATAAGGGCAGAATTGATGTTTCATTCCCTTTGTGGACTCAGAAGACAGGCCATTTTCTGATGTTTACATTAGATAGACACATAATCCCAGATATAGTACATTACATGTGAAATAGAATGTTTTGCTGTAGAACAGTCTCCTGGCAGAGTTGTTTATGAGATTTGTTTTCTTAGGTTCAAACCAATGTTCTGCTGAGAGTAAGTTGGGACTTTTGTTTTTCTCTCTTTAGGACTATTAGAAGACTCATTAGTACAGAAGCTTCCAGGCTGTAGAGCCCTGCTTCCCTTATCCGACCTCACAAAGATAAACGTCTCTCACCTGTGTGTGTGGCCGTCTACATCTGCTTTCCTCGACCCAGTGCCTGTGACTCGGAGTAGTTTGTTACTGAAATGTGGTGACAAAAAAAGTCATTTCCGTAAGACCACATCGGATCATTTACTTTGTGTCATTTTTAGTAACAGAACTGCAGGAAGACCAAGACATGGTTATAATCCCAGCAAGTTGCTAACTGCATTTTCCCCTTCTTGGAATGAATGCTTCCCTCCAGAGTGGTTAGCATCAACTTCATCTGTGATACCCATCAGAAATTTTGCTTCGTTTTATGCTGAAAGCAGAACACAAGTTGCATTTCATATGGAGGCTGTAAATATCTGGCATTTTCTTTGTGTTTTATTATTTTTCTATTGTTGTTTTTACCATCTTATTTTCTTTTGGGACTTTCTGTAATGCCATTGTACAGCTCGTACCTTCCTGCTGACATATCTGATAATCTGTTTTGTGAAGTTGCCAATATTCTTAACTGAAAATAATCTGGTTTACCATAAATAAAAAGGAGAACTTGGCTATTTTGTGTTTTTGCAGGGGGAAGGTAAAGAGTGTTTATTTAATAATTACCTATCTTAAGTCTTTCTGAGTTGAAAGCAGTTTCGTGTTCAAGGAATAGGAATAGCTGAAAAACATGAATTTAAGTCAGTCCTTTTAAAGTAGATACTTTTATTCTTTTGTATAAATAAAATTTTACAGGCTTTGATTTCTCATACTTTTAAAGCTGAGATTGTTTTTCCATTTATTTTATTTATTCATATCATGCCTTATGGAAATTTCTTTTTCCATCTCTTCTCTCTTTGCTGGTATTTACCTGATTAAGTATTGCTGTAAAAATCACTAAAGCATATGGAAAGGCTCCAAATTGTACAAAAAGCTGACCTGTACAGATTTCTTGAGCAGAGTGAAATGTCCCACAGACCCCTGTTCCTTACTGGGGTTGATTAGGCCCAGGCCCTGCTGGTAATTGTTACATGCCTCTAGAGCAGTGGTGATTTACCTTGGCTGCACTTTGGAATCTCCAGAAAAACTTTAAAAAATCCTGATGCCTGGGTCCCTCCCAGGAGACTGGCTGGGGTACAGCCTAGTTCTTGGGATTTTCTGTCAAAGATTCCCTGGGATTCTGATACGAAGCCAAGTTAGAGCCACTGCATTAGGGGACTGACTTAAATCCTCTGTTGTGAATTGGTCTAAGGGATAAGTTTAGGGCTTCATTTTCCCTTTGACTCTAATTAGTCATAGTCCTTTACTTATGCCCATATCTTTGTTAGAAAAACTATGTTCCATTTGTGGTAATATTAGTAGAACTCACTATGGATGGCAGTCCATTGTCACAACAAGTCTGCCTTGTCAGGTGGCACAAAGGCTTTCACTATTCTTGTTCTCAAATAAACTTTTTTTTTTTTTTTGACTCTGGCTATTTAGAAGTCTTTGGTAGCAGAACTCAATGTCAAGAGTTTTTAGGGAAATGGTTTCTTATATTTAGATTGTTCTTTAAAAAAAAAAAAAAAAGCAGCAATGGAAACCCAAAGCATTCTGTACCCTTCTGTGTCAGTCTGTCTTCTTTTTGGGGAGGGGGAGATAGGATACCTGCAGTTTCCTTAACTCTTAGGAAAACACACAGAAAACCTTCACATACTTCTAGCTCTCATAGTTTGGCATTTGCTAGAGATACAGTAGTAGTCCTCTTAAAAAGATGTTTTGTTTAAAACTATATGTAGATGTACACACCTGAGTATATGTATAATCTTGGTTAGAGACAGGCTGCTTGCCTTATACTTATTTTCTCTATAAAGTTTAATCATTGATTAGGGGACCTCCCAATTTTCCTGTAAGTTGGCCAGGCATACTGGAGATATTCAGTATGGGATTGCTTAGGTTCCCTACATCGGGGTGGCTTAGAAAACACCAAGGGATCCCTGCCTACCATGCTTGGGATATCTGTAACTCCTTCAGTAATCAGTTAAAATTTCCTAACTTTAAACGAGGCTGAGGTAATGACTTTGATCAAGTGTATTACCAACCAGAAGTACCAACGTGCTAACATGGAGGGAGACATTAATTTAGGTGGCATTTGCCTTTACAGTACCCATCGATAGCATTTGTAGTGGGAGTTTGCTGGTTGACCTGAGTCCTCACATCGTAGCAGCCCCCTGTCAGTGATCCCTGAACTGGGACAACTGCCAGGACCACTGCAAAGGTACTTCCTTTACTGGGTTGGTTTGGTTTGGTACAGTACTTTGCTTCATGTCTTAAGGACAGAAAACAAATTGGTTTAAAGAACTATATGGCCTAATCACAAGAAATTGACTCCCATGATATGTCCTCCCTTCTTCTCTTTTCTGTAATCCAGAGGGACAGAGGAGGGAATGGGTGGGCTGAAAGGAGCCATACCAGTTTATTTATACCATCTGGGTAAAATTTGTTTTTCTATCTCTAAGATGGGAATGAGACTTCCTTTGCTCCTTTTGGTAGTTGTAAGACGTTTTAAAAAATGCCTTATGATGTCTTTGTGCCTGCCCCCATGCTTCATGGGGGGTCTCAAGTATACTCTTCCATGGGGCTGAGAAGATAGTTCATTTTAGTTAAATCAAAATGTTCTAAATACTATCAGATTCTGTAAGTTGAAGACAGAGAGCAGAAATAACCCACTAGTAAAAGATAAGCCATTTGGAGCAAGGGGGGGACTATAGGGAAGCTTTATGAAGTTGCGTGTGGCCAGTGTGGTTGGGAGAGCATAGGCTTTCAAAGCTGTTGTACTGATCAGGCCATAGACCTTAGGGCCTTAAGGGTGGTTTAAGAAATTGATAAATAGTTAAGTAGGTTAGATATTCTCCCCACAATTGAGTTTATACTGTTTGCTTAGAAGAAAATCTAGTTTTAAAGAATAGGGAGCAGGCATCAGAATTATTTCCAACTTTAAGCTTGAGTCTTTGGATGTTGGGATGATGTAGTACTCTGTAAGTGTTCCGTAAAGAGTATGCTTGACGTCTCTTACTATGTGGTTAATAAGGGAATGGAAACACGTGTTAAATGGCCTAAACTTGAAAGCAGTAAATACGCTGTTTTGAAACATTCTGTGACTTGGTCTTTGCTTTTATTTTGATTTCTCTGCTCTTCAACCTTACTCCAAATGACTGAGGCATTATTATGCTTAAAAATGCACGTCTGAAGCCCTGAGTCTGTGGGCACTGCACTGGTTTGGGTAAAGTGGAGAGGGAGGGGTGTTGTGCTTCTTTGTAAATGTGACTTCTCCCAGGGTGGTGTCATATTCTGTGCCCAGGGTGGTGGTGTCAATGTGAGATGCAGAGACAATGAGAAGAAGGGATTGGAATTTGAATTCCAGCATCCATCTAAATTAGCATCATGTCTGAATGTTTTAAGGGGTGACCTTCGTGATTTGAAACAAAATTTTCACTTGGAAAAAAACTGCTTCTGTCTAATACAAGTTCCACCTTAGAAACGGGCTGTGGTGGAGTTGATGCTGGTCCTCCCTCCCTAGGACAGTGGTCCCGAAGGGAGAGGGCATGCGGAGGGGCCCCAGGGCATGTCAAGCTGGTATTAGATCTTTGATTTATATTTACGTTCAGGCTCAGCCTTATTTAGCTCCTCATCTTGAATGTGTTATGCAGTATACATAAATATTGGTGCGGTAGTGCAGGTAGATAATTTGTAAATAAAAGGTTGAACCACAAAAAAATTGCTGATATTCGACCGTTTTGACCTACAAAAATGGCAGTTACCTAATGTTTTAACAACTTCCTACATATATGTTGGGGGTGTGTATGATGTGCCAAGTTCTTACTGTTAGAATACAAAAAATGAATTTTGGAGACCCCTGACCAATACCACCCTCTTCACTCCCCCGGCCCCGACCCCACCGGCCCAGCCAATAACTTCTCTCTGTCCCTCCAGGGGGAACTTATTAATTTGAGTAAGTAACACATGCAAATAGCACACATGCAAATGGTACTGAAGTATATTTAGTGAAAAGTCTATCTGTCCCTCAGGCACCCAGTTCCTCTTCCCAGAGGCAACCACTACCAGTTTCTTGGGTGTCCTTCCAGAGGAATTTTGTACATAGATAAGCAATACGCATACCTACATGCGTATATTTACAGAAATAGTAGCATATATCAACAGTGTTACACCCTTGCTTTTTTTCCCTTTTGCTTTTTTCATTTAGCAATATAGCTTTAAAAATGTTCCCTGTATACAGCTGTGTCATCATTTTTATTGGCTACTTGATATTCTGTTGCATGCATATCCTCTGTTCCTGGTGTTAATATTGTTTCCCATCTTTTGCTGTTTCAGACAGTGTTGTAGTGAGTAGCCTTACACATTATTTTGCAAACATGTGAGTACCTGTAGGATAACTTCTTAGCAGTGGGATTGCTGAGTCAAAGGGCATGTGCCCTTTAGGTAACCTGGAGCCCCAGGTTACCCTCCATCACTGACACTTCCACGAGCAATAGGACAATGCCCATTTCCCCACACCCTGCCAAAATGACAGGGTTAAAAAAAAATGGTATCTCATTGTGTTTTATTCTTCAGATCATTCTTTAAATATGAATACTTGTATTTTTTTCTCGTTTTCCTGTCCTTATTCCTCCAGTTCTTATGAACTTTTCTTGGATAATTTGTTACCCAGAACAGCTGGAATTTCCTGGAGCTTTAAACGTTGTGGAAGGTATGGCTTTGACCTCTGGTGTTACTTTCCAGGCTGGAACTGCAAATGTTATTAAGAATGAATTCCCTGCTTTTGCCTTAGCACTTTACTTGCCATATTAGTCTCCTTAGATTCTGGTTTTCGGATCCAGAAGATCCTTGCCTCTAGGCCCTTCATTCTAGGTCAGTGCTGGTGGCCCTGGGGACTGGCAGGCCCCCTGCTCCACAGGCAGTAGTACCAGGAGGTGCCGGCAGGTGGCAGGCAGGGCACCAGGAGCACCCTGGCCTTTAGCAAGGCTCTTTTCTGGAGAGTTGCCAGAGCCTTTGGACCATTCCTAGTGACCTCTCAGCAACATGCCCAGCTCTGTGTGGGGTGGGGTGAGTTGCCTGGTCCTTCTCTCCCACCTAATTTTGCAGTCATTTCTTAAATGGGTGAGCAGTTTAAGACCATCAGCAGCTGCCTGGAGAGGAGCTTCTAGAGGCCACACCACAGGTTGACAGCTGGGGCCTCCCCGCTCCAGGAACTAGCCGGAAGGATTTACATGCCATGGCCTGGGATGGCTTGGTTTCCTTAATTGTAGGGCCCTACTTCCTGCCTCTTTCAGCCAAATCTCCCACACCCTTCCCATGAACTAGGAGGTCCCCGGAACAGGCTCTTACTCACTGCCGTCTGTTCCACCCACTCTGCTATGGCCTGGGAAAAAAATGAGCCTGCGGTTTGAGAACTCCTGGGGTAAAAGTGCTGGGTCCCTGGGCTGCCTTTGGGGCCAGGAGCCCCTGGGGACCAGATCCCCCCCTGAGCCGGCCCAATCTCTGGATACATGTCCCATTGAATCCCATTTTCTCTGTTGCTCACTTTGTCTCTGCTGGAGGCCTGCCCAGCACCTTCCTCAGGTCAGGGGTCTTGCACGATAAGTCCTTCTGGGTTGTTGTTAGGTGCCGTGGAGTAAATTTCGACTCATAGTGACCCCACGTGACAGTAGACCTGCCCCATAGGGTTTTTTTGGCTGTAATCTTTACAGGAGCAGATCACCAGGGCTTTCTCCCTCAGAGCCAACGCCGGAATTTGCATACTCAGTGGTTTCCCCATCAGCCTTTCAGCTCTCACTGTGGTGGGTTCTAACCACCAACCTTTCTGTTAGCAGCCTAGCGCTTGACCTTTGCACCACTAGGGCTCCTGGGTAGGGGTTGCCAAACCCTGGCTTTTCCAGGAGGCATAAGGCAGGAGAGGAGGGCCAGCAGAGAACTTTACTGGTAGGAAGAGGGAGGAAGTGGCAGCTGCGGTGGTGAGTGGTGGCTGCTTCCCGGACACTGCTCTCCCTCTGACCATGCAAGAGACAGACCAGCTATGTTTGGATGTTAGCAGCACTGGGAGGCCTTGGGAGACCTGTTCCCTGGAGCCCTGGAGCTCTCCTGCTCCTTGTTTAGGGCCTCAGCTCTTCAGGGACTGCCGGGTTTCCCCAGGCTACAGAAGTGGGGTGGGCAGATGGGGACTAAGTGTGGGCGGGGACGTCCAGAACAGGGTATTTCATGTCGTGTAGGCTGGTCCTCTGCCAGGGAAGCCTGAGGTTTCCTGAGGATAGATAGGTGACAGTCGTCCTGGCTTCCACAGTCCGTGCCCCAAGAGGGCGTTAATAACTGTTGTGGGAGACAGGACTTGCAAGAAAACCCAGAGTCAGCCCCTGCTGGTGAGAGCCGCCAGGCTGAGAAGGCCTCTGGGGGTGGGGAAAGGGCAGCAGGAGGCGGCCTCTGTCAGCTCCCAGGATCATTTCCCAGCAACGCTGGAATTTGCATACTCTGGTTTCCCCATGGCTTCTCAGCACCTGGAACCAGGAAAACCAGAGGAGGAAAGAGCAGGGGGGCAGCCACTCGGAGTTTAATCCCGTCCAGTGCCTGAGTGGTTTGAGCTTCCATGTTAGGAATCACATTCCTGCCCTGCCGCCCTCTCCTACACAGCTCGCGCACACACGAGCCATCGCGGGAGGCAGGCAAAGGAGCTGAGGCTCCAGGAGGGTGTGTGTGATACTGGCCCAGGCTACACAGCTAGTGAGGGGCCCTGGGACCTGGGCTGCCTTCTCTTTGCTGTCACCACGTGAACTGAGACAACTTGTCAACTCTAGAGAGAGGCAAGGGTCATTGTTTCCACTTTACAGGTGGGGGAACTGAGGCCCTGGGAGTGAATGCCTCCTGCCTAAGCTGCTTCAGCGGGCAGAGTACGGCGGGTGGATCTTCCAAAGTTAAATCCCAAGTCGTGGGATAGAAACAGCCTGGGCCTTAGGCCTGGCAGCCTCTGAATGGCTCTGCCTAGAAGCCAGATTGAGAAAGAGGCCCGAGGGGAGGTTCTAAACCTTGGATGGCCTGGTCTGCCGGGAAACCACAAGATGCAGGCTCAGGCTGAGTGGGGGTGAACGGACTCAACCCGCCCCAAGCCCAGCCCAGCCTGGGCTGCCTCGTGCGCTCTTCTTACCCTTGTCAGTGCCTGTCAGTGGACCAGCAGGGCCAGTCACAACCTCCAGAAATTAACCACTGCCAGCCTGGGCCTGCTGCCCACTGACCACCTGCTTGTAGGCCCCTACATGGAAGCAGAAGCAACAATGACTAAGAGTTCAGCTATGGTCAAGGAGGAAGTGTGAGCTGCCAAGTCTGTGGCCATCTGGCTAGTGGGATGGGAAGATGAGCGAGAGAGCTCCCAGGCCATTCATGAGGCCATTGGCCTCCAAGCTCCACCATGGTGTGCAGAGGCAGAGGGGCCTTGATGGGCTGGGGCTGCTGGGGCCCTGCTGCTAAGTAGGTGGGTGAGGTGGCCATCTCAGGTACCATGCTGGAAGGATGCCTCTGTGAATATGTTGTAAACCTAAAAAGGCTATGAGGGGTGGGGCGGAGGGTGCCCCCATCTCACTTCCCTGCAGGGGCCTGAGACTGTGTCTCTCCTCCTCATGTTTGTGGGGCCGGGGGACCAGCCTGTGAGGCCCTGCCCCAGTCTTTCTCCTTGGGCAAGTCACTCAGCACTGCCAGGTAGCTGATAATGAACTGGCCAGTCCAGTATTTTTGCTTCCTGTCCTGTAAAACAAACAAAGGCCCATAAATAGCCTTTTAATCTGGAATACAGTTCTTGATGGGAAAAAATATTTTATAAATAAGGCAACATTTCTTTGGGCAGACCAAGCATGAGAAGAGTACTTTTGGTGGGTGGTGGGGAGGGGGGCTTTGAGTTAATGTCGGCTTAAGTGAATTCCAGATTGTGCATTGATTCCTGCCGTAAGTGCAGACTTCTACAGGACGTTCAGGGTAAAGAACAAGGTGGGGCCCCACCGTGCAGGGGGTCGCTAGTGTGGCATTTTCCGCAACATGCTGCAAGCTGTTATGCAGCAAAGTGGTTTCTAAAATACAACTATAAAAGCTTCCCCAACATGCTGCACAGCTGTTCTATGGCAAAGAGTTTCCAAAAAAAAAAAAAAAAAAATACAGATACTATAAAAGCTTCACAAACAAAAAGTACAAATTAGGTAAGATATTCAAAGATATAGTTATTAAAACTATTTTTTTTTTCATTTTCTCCTGCTGACGGTGTTTGTGTGAGTGTCATCGGACAGCCCAACTTTTCCCTTAACTATCACACTTCATTTTTTCATCTGCAAAAGAAGAGACATGTATTTCTGCGTGGCCTCTTGCCTTCTTGGGTTGGATGAGAAGGTTGAGGCGGTGGAGGGAGAAGCACTTTGAGCACTGGCCCACAGAGAATAAGTAACACCAGTGACCGCTTAATTAAGTACTTACTATGTGCCAGGGATCGGGTCACGCCCTCCACACATACTATCTCAGGTAATGTTACAACCCCCTGAGGTAGGCACCATGATTATCACCATTTCATAGGTGAGGAAACTGAGACCCAGACAGGGTTAGTCACTTGCCCCAGGTAACAGTCAGTGGCAGAGCCAGTTCCTGAATTTGGGACCATGACCTCTGGCTTAGAAATGTCTCTGCCTCCTCCTGTGTCCACCCAGGGCCCGGCTGCGTCTCCAGGCTGCTCCTGCCCCAGCACTCCCTCCCCTGGTCTGCGGGCCTGGGTCTAGAATGCAGTGACATCAGGGAGGACGGGCCAGGAGTTGACTGCCCAAGGCCTCCACACATGTTCCAGCTGATCCATTGCTCCAGAAACCATCTTCTCTCCTTTCTCCCTGCAGGAAGGTTTCCTGTCCTCGGCGCTTGTCACAGCAGCACAGAAAAGGGAAACAGACTCCTTCCTGGGCTCCCGCCACAGGACTCTAGCACACTTACACTTCTGCTTCCTAACTTTTGCTCCTCCACCCCCACCCATGTGTCCTCTCTCTTCAATGGCCACATCCTTCTCCTCGACTATCAAGGCCCAGCCCAAGGCCTCAGCAAAGATGCCTGTGCCCCATAGGGACAGCACTCTCGGTAGACCCCGGAAACCTTCCAGAGGAGGGCTCTGAGAGCCATTGCGGGCTGAGGGCAGGTCAGGGGTGCACACCTGCTGAGCTTCCACCACCCACCCACCCAGCTCGATCCCCCAAGCACGACAAAGACAGATCTCCTCTCAAAAGGGCTCACGTTTTACTTTATTGATGTGCTATGGGAGGTGAGGACTTTCCACTTAAGATATTTAACATCTATACCCGTACACACATGCATACATCCCCCAACCCCAGAGCAAGGGCGAGGTGATTGAGTACAGAGGAAGGGTAGGAAGAGAGGGGGAGGACACAGGCCCTTCGCCCCCAACAGGGGCAGTGGAAGCGAACAGGGCGGGGCAGGAGGTGGGTTATTAAGAAGCATTTTGCTTACTAACATGAAGCCTTGTGCCCAGTGAGAGCAAGGACGAGGCCTCATTGGCTTAGAGGAGGGGCCCTCGGAGGGCAGGCACATGGTGCCCAACTAGCCAGACAAGGCCGGCGTCCCAGGGACGGGGCGGAGGTGGGGGGCCGTGCACAGGGTCCCCAGCCCAGGCCTCTGCTCCCCTACCTCCCTCCCCGCCCTCTGAGAGAAGAGGGTTTGGGCGTCAGCCACGGACCGACGGCCATTACCGGCAGCGTCTCCTTAAACTACAGAGATACAATGTGTATCAACAGGGTGATCGCTTCTGACCCACTAAGCAGACAGCCAGAGGTGCCGTGTGGGCCAGAATCAATTCTACAGTATCTTTGGTTTGTGGGTTCCCTTCCCTACTTTAGTCCTCCCCCTGTCCGGCCACGAGTGTGGGCCTCGGCGCTGCCCAAGCCCAGCCGAGTACCCCTGGAGGCTGGAGATGCTGCCCTGCCTGCTGCCAGGGCCGGCTTACTCATTGAGGTGCTGGGATTTGTAGGACAGAATCTTGGCCGCCAGCTGCTGGGGGTCCAGGAGCTGTGGGAAGCGCCCCATTACTGCATCCACCAGATGGGGGGGGAAGACGCCACACAGCTTGGTGTACACATTGGCCCGCTCCTTATTGAGGCTGCCTGCCCCACCCCATGGGCACCCATCAGCCCCCTGCACCCGGGACTCCTGTAGGACCGGGGTGGATTGGGGCAGCTGGTATGGCTCAGACCAGTACTCTCGAGGTGGGTAGGCGGGTGGCGGGGCTGCAAAGTCAGCAGGCACACTGAAGTGGCCAGCACCCACGGCCTGTCCAAAGGTAGAGAAGGCCGGAGTGGCTGGAAGCTCAGATCCATAGAGGCCACAGCCAGTGTATGGGCCCCGAGGGGCACCTGGCTCCCCAGGACCTCCTCCACGAATGCCCCACAGTTCTGACATCTGGCTTTCCAGGGAGCCGATGCCCGAGTCCAGGCAATCCTGGGAGGTGTACGGCAGGGAGTCCAGGGTCTGGGGGAACCATTCTGTGAGCCCGAAGCTTCCACCACTGCCCCCGCTAGGTGGGAGGCTCCTGCCCGCTGGTGCAAAGGTCTGCGTCAGACCCTCCCGGCGGGGCCCTGGGGATGCCCGGGCCCCCAGCTTCTTTCCGTCGGGGCTGCACTGCTCACCCTCTGCAGGCAGTGAGTTGGGCTGAGGCGAAGGTGAGGGCCGCCGGCCACTCTTGTCCTTGCCTGGGGCCCTGGGAGGTGAGAGGCGGGCATTGGCACGGAGCTCGTCAGCCACAGAGCGCTGGGGGCAGCTCGGCCGTTCTGGATGGAAGAATCGGCACTTGATCCCATAGGTGCATTTCCTCCCTGGAAAAGGAATTACGTGGGACTCAGCAGGGAGCTCAGGGGCCATGGCGGGATAGGGAGGGCAGCGGCATGGAAATGTGGGGCTGGGGCAGTCCAGTTGTGGTGGTCCCCCAGAGGAAGAACACGGGGACACAGGCAGACAGGTGGAAGGAGAAGGGGCAAAGCAAGGAGGGTGGAGGTGGGTGTCTCACCATAGGGGCATGGTTGCTTCCTCTGCTCGGTGGAGAGGGGCTTCTTACGCAAGAAATTTTCCAGGCTGGGCCCATGCCGGCCCAGGGGATCATCAGGGGGCATAAACCTGCAGAGGGAGAAAGCTCTTGGTAAGTTGGGGACATGAAGGGAACTTCTAATCGCTGAGGCAGGGGGTAAGGGTTGGATGGCAAGTCTCGCTAGGAAAACAGGAGAACAGCCCCCAAAACTGGTGCCTGCCCAGCAGGATCCCCAGGACTGTTCTGAGCTCTCAGTGGCGTCTCCCCAAAGTAGTGGGGGAGGATCCCCAGTCCAGCGGGCCCCAGCCCTCTGGCACTGGGCAACTCTCATGCTGGAAACCCTGAAATAATTGGGAAGCTGGCAACCCGAATATCTGAATCCAGGGCCTGAGTCCACACCCCACTGGCCTCTGGACCAGAGACTGATCCAGTGCTGGGAGCTAGGGAGGCTGCCTTGGAACCACTGACCATATCTTGTTACCAACGCTACTGCCCCAGCCCCAAGTTAAAAAGCCCCCTGCGCCACCAGGTCCCACCCTGGTCCCTGTTATGCTGGTGGATGTCTATCTCGCTCCCGAAGCTGCCAGGCTCCAAAGCCATTGCCCGCATGGCCAGAGGGTCCCCCGCAGAGCCCCTCCCAGCCCACCCCCTTCCCAGGGCATTTCTGGTTGCCACTAGGACCAGAGGCCCACCAGGTACCCTCCAGGACGGGAGCATACTTGTCATTGACGAAGGAGTACATGAGCAGCCGTTCCTCAATGAATCGCCTCCACTCCTGCCGCTCCCCCTGGAGGTCCCGGTAGGTGTCGTTGGAGACCACGACCCCATCGGACTCATAGGCCAGCTTCACAATGAAACGGTCGTCGTAGCACACCACCCGCTTGCCACCCACACGCCGCGACGGTGTGAACACCAGGATCTTCTTCTTCTCCAGTTCCCACAGGATGTACTGGTCTGGGGAGGGGCAGAGGTCAGGGTCCAGCCTGGAGCCAGGCCTGCAGGGCTCCCAACCCTCCTGGGGGCCAAGAACCAGGGGCTGCTGACTCCAAGTTCACTAAGGCAGGAGCCAGGTCTGCTGAGGCCGTGGCTGCACCCCAGCCCCTCGCTTGCCCTGCACATAGCTAGGGCACAGTCAGTCCCTTACTCACAGAAAACCCAGAACACCTGAGAATGGGCTGCACCACCTGCTGAGAAAGGGCCCCCCCAAGGCAGAGCTGGGCCATTCCTTCTCCCCTACTGTCCAACAGGTCTATTGAGGCCAGATGTGGTCTTGGCTTTTGCTGTCACCCAGCCTTGTCCTGCAGGGCTCTGTGGATGAGCCTCAGCCTGAGCAGGGCTGGGGGAGTGTCGTGGCTCTGCCCCTCCCTAGCCTGAAAGAGCCTGCTAGACCCCATCTGGAAAAGGATACCTTTCCTGGAGCCAGCGGCCCCAATCAGCCTGCTCCCAGATCTCAGTTTTTACCCCCAAAAGCTTTTGCCCCCTTGTTGTAAGAACAGTGATAACAGCTAACATTTACTGAGCACTTACTGTGTGTCAAATGCTCTGCTAAGCGCTTCACACGGACTACTCACGTGATCCTCACAACCACCCTGTGAGGCAGGAGCCGTTATCACCCCACCTTCCTATTTTACTGATGTGAGCAAGCGGCTCAGAGCAAGGCAACGTAACTGGTCCCGGGTCACAGAGCCAAGAGCGAAACCCTGGTAGCAGCCTTGGCCCGGAGCCCACAGGTAACCACCACACATACTGCCTCTCTGCACTGGGATGTTGAAGCACAACCCACCAGGAGGATGAGGGGACTGCCCAGGCTGGAGGCAGAAGGCTGGACAAGGTGACCCCAGCAACTGCTCTTTACAGCAGGGTTGCTTAGGACAGCAAGAGCTGGGACAGGAAATGCTAGTCCCTGCATGAGGTCTAGAAGGGTCTCTCTAGGGAGCCCAGGACTCCTGGGGCAGTGGAGCATGTACCTGTGATGGGCACATCAGGCCGGGGCTGCTCCTTCCTCCAGGACGGCACAAATACCGTGATGTCTGTGTGGCCTCGCTCCAGAAACCAGTTCACAGCCAGCAGGATGCCCCGGCAGGAGAAGACCTCCTTGTTCCCGTGGCTGGGGGGCAGAGGAGGGACAAAGTCAGCCCCAGGGGCAGCCAGCCCACCAACCCCTGGGCCTCAGCACTCCAGCCCCTGCTGGCCTTTCTGGTGGAGGCTGGGAGTCAGCCCGTTACCTGCCCTGGTTCCCACAGTGCCTGGGATGGCCAGGCCAGGGACTTTCCCTGAGGTTCCGTCTCCTGAAAGTGAGGAAACATTCAGGAATCCAGCAGCACCCGCTCCCCACAGTGGGGGAAGGTCAGGAGGCTTGCAACACACCTGGGGGTGGGGGAAAGGCACGGGGAGACTCCTGGTTCCTGCCCTACCCTGCGGAGCCGCTGGGCCCACAGGGACTCACACCAAGAGCCAACTGAGTCACCACCCTGCCCCTGGCCCTCTGAGGGGTAGGGGCGGGGGAAGCAGCCGGTCCGGCTAACTGAAGAGAAACCAGATTGTTCCGGATTAAAGTTCAGTGCTCACACAAACCTCCCAGGTCTGGGACCTGGGGAGAGTCAAGGGGAGGGGGCTGGCAATTCCAACCTGAAACAAGGAACAGGAAGTGACAGAGTGGCAGACGCTCCTTTGGAACCTTCCAACTTGAAAGCGAAAGGACACTGCTTTTCCTCCCAAGACCGCCAATTCCCCAAAATGCCGACTTGCCAGGTCATCTCCTCACCCCTCTCAGGGAGGGCATGACCTGACGCAGGAGGACAGCAGACGCTGGGGGACTCTGCTAGCAAGGGAGGCCGGGACAGCCTCCCTGTCTTGGTCTGACGACCACAATCTCCTCCCACCCAAATCTGGCTGGATCCAGAAGAGAGCCTTAGGTGCCCCTGGGTTGCTCTGGCTCTCAGTTTCTCTTATCTTTAAAATGGGTCTAGTAGTCTGCAGCTTCGTTAGGAAGGGCTAGTGCATGGGGTCCTTATGAGTCCGGGGCTGACTCGACTGCAGCTAACAACAACAGTGTCAGTGGGAAAACTTCCCTGTTTGCTTGAGGCGAAAGACAGTTCAGCAAAGTGAGGTTCCAGCCCAGATTTCCTGGGAGCTAAGGGTGGGAGGGGTACCAGGGCTTGGAGCTCCCAGGTAACACAAGGTGGCAGGGAAGGGCCTTTGGGACAGGCTGGGGCTCCCTTCCTAGCAGGCCAACTCCCTCACTGCCCCCTCAGTGAGCAACTCAGATTCTCATATTTGGCAAATAAAACAGAATAAGCGTTATGCAAAAGAGGCAAGTCCATGGCCAACCACATCCTGTGGGTGGCTTTGGGGGGTGATAACTGGAGCCCCAAGAGAAGTTACAGAGGCAAGCGGGGCAGCTGGGGGGTCATGGAGACTGTTTGGGGGTGAGGCTGGCGCTCCAGAGACTGAAGCTGTCTGTAAATTATAGGAGAGGCAAAGTCCAACCACAAAACAGTACTTATCCCCGCGTGATCTCCTATCCATTGGCCCTGCTTATAATAAAAGTTAACATTCGCTGAGAGCTAGGAGCCAGGCCCTGCTCTAGCTGCTTAACACTTAACCTTCAACACGCCTATGAGGAGGGTACTATCAACGTCATCCGCCTTTTATCCTTTTTTTTGGCAGGGGTACAAAACCAGAAAATAGATTTTACTACCTTGAGAACGCAAAGGAAGGTACTACTTTATCATCTTTTTTCAGAGAAAACTGTAGTCCAGAGAGGGTGACTTAGTTGCCATGGCCACGTAACAGTAATGGTAGAGCAGAGATGCAAATTCAGACCCTGTGTTCATAACCACTACAAGCATTGATGCTTAAAAAATCTGCTGCCATCAAGTTGATTCAGACTCATAGCAACCCTATAAGACAGAGTAGAACTGCCGCATAAGGTTTTCCAAGGCTGTAATCTTTACAGAAGCAGACGGCCACATCTTTCTCTCACAAAGCAGCTGGTGGATTCAAACTGCTGACCTAACTACTGTGCCACCAGGCCTCCTTATTTGGGAGAAAGAAGCTTCCCCACTTGCCTTTGAAAAAGGACATGAGTGTTAACAGGGAGGGGCAGGCTGAGAAAAGAAGAAATAATGCACCTGGTAAACTCCTATTCCTCCTTCAGGACCCATAGGCGGTATTACTGCCTCCAAGAAGTCTTTCCCTGACTTGCTGGGAGGGGTCAGGTCCCTGGTCTGTGTCTTCACAATGCCCTATGTTTCCCCTATCACATTACTGCCCTCCCTGGGCCTTCTGCTAGGTCTCCCTACAGCCCGTGAGGGTGTGGTCATCTCAGGTATGCAGTTGGCACATGCATCCACCTGCCTCCCCTGTGTGTACATGCATATACCGCATCCTAGGCCAGCACTGTCAAGCCTTGGGACCTAATGGGACACCAAAGGCTTCCAGGGCAGTACACTGCCTCCAGGCACTGAAAACCCTGGCTGGGGACCAGTCTGCTGTGAGCAGCCCCAGCCCCTGGAACAGTCCCTTGGCAGTTGACAGGGCCCTACTATTGGTGGAAGTAGAACACAGGTTCTAGTCCCTTGAATGGAGCCCAGACTTTGCCCTCCCAGGCCTGGAGGGCCTCCCTACAGTTAGCTTTTGTCCCTCTCCCTGTAACAAAGGAAGCCCTGCTGGCAGAGAGAACCCACATCACCCCCCTCCACAGTCCCCAGGTCAGGTCCCCAGCCGGCGAAGGCGAACACTGGTGGGGATGTGCCAGTGTGCAGGAGATCCAGCTCGGCCGCTCCAGGCCCGGGACAGAGGGCAGGGCAGGGCCGGGCCAGGCTCTCCAGGTGAGAAGACAGGCAGGGGCTGGGCCCCGCAAGTGGAAAAAAATTCCCTTAGAAGGAAACAGAGGTGAATTTCCCCACGATTTGCATATGGTGGGGGCTGGCCTATCAGCCCTTAGGGGCGAGGGGGCGGCAGGGCAGGAACCCAGTAGCAGCTGAGACAGGAAGTTTGAGGCTGGAATTCCCCTCCTGCCACTGCCCTAGCTCAGAAAGCCCCGGCGGCTCGCCTCTCGGGTGCTCGCTCCCCTGGTCCCCCTCCACCGCCCGCCCCTCCCTCCCAGGCCCCTCCTCTTTCTGCTGGGATACAAACATACAGCACATGGCTCAACTAATCCTGCCCAGGCCCCACCCTGCCCCAGGAAGGAGACACAGAGCCATCCCAGCTCCTTGCCCAGGCACACTCAAAGCACAGGCTGTGACCAGTTGCCCCTGGCACATGGGAGTTGGCTTTGCTCAATCTCAGCCCATTTCAGAAATGGGAAGACTGACTGGCAGACGGCTGCCGGCACAAATGCAGGATGAGGGGGCCAGGACCAGCTGGAAAGCTGACCTGCCCAGCTAGGCTGGGAGCAGGAGGGGCCAAACGCTGCGGAGGGCAGAAGCTGACATCATGCCCACCTCAGGCAGCCCACCTGGGAGCTCCTTCCCTGCTCTTTTGCCTGGGGTTTCCCGGTCCACACCAACAGGAACTCTTCCCTGTGAGAGATCCACCCAGCCCTGACTCACCGGCTGCCTTGGAGAAAACTGGGAGAAAGCAGGGCCAGAGGGCGGGGCCTGGAGCAAAGGCAAAAGTCTGGGCTCCCTGGGGCCAGCGGCCTCGCCCTGCCCCCACCTCACCCCATTCCCTATGACAGCCTGTGTCAGGGGGCCTGGGAGTACTGGGGCCCAGTCCTGGCTCCAGCCCTGGGGAGCCCCTAGAGCCCAATCCTGCCTAGGCAGTTCCAGCTGAATCAGAGGGACCTGAATCACAGCTCACCTGAAGCCAGAGCATCAGGCCACCACCTGCAGCTCCGAGTGACAGAGCCAGAGCCAGCCTCATGGTCACTCCTGGTCACAGACCTGAATGCTTCAGCAGCTGGGAGCCTGGGTCTGGGACAACAGGGTCTTAGAAGTCCCAGTCCCTGAATAACAATTACTGTTTACTGAGCACTTACTACTCATCAGGCTCTGTGCATTCACTCCTCTCAACTACCACCTGAAGAAGTGGGGAATACTGTTTGGCCCATCTTACAGACGAGCAAATAAGGTTCAGAGAGATTAAGTGACTGGCTTACAGTCACACAGCTCCTATACAAATGAGCTGGGATTCAAACCCAGGCAGTTTAACACTGGAGTCGAAAGTCTAATCCACTGCACTACATTGCCTCGTATCCAGAAGAGGAATTGAGATGGTGAGAGTGGCGGCACCCAGGGAAAGATCCATAGCATTAGGTGACCTCTGGAGTCAGAAAGACCTGGGTTCGAATCCGTGCTCCACCACTTACCAGCAGTGCAACCGTGGAGAAGCCTTTTAGCCTATGTCCTCATCCCTAAACATTCCTCTCAAACCTACATCAAGAAGTCAGGAGGATTAAGGGAGCCCACTGCACACAGCAAGGCCTCAATACAGGGCTTTCCCTTCTTCTAGACCAGTCCGTAGTAAGAGGTCAGACTCCTCCCAGCCGCTAGTGATGAGCCTTGGCCACAGAAGTGACACATACCTCATGGCCACATTGCTCCCGTCGATGACCACAGGTCTTAGGTCACTGCTCTCCTTGTCCTCTTCGGTGGGTGAAGACTCCAGGGTGGGAGTTTTGTGGGTACCACCACCCCGGGGCACCAGGGGCAGCTGAGGGCAGGGGTCTGGCGAGGCCTGGTGCTCCCGCTCAGTGGCTGAACCATGTTTCACCAACTCGCCCAGCACTGTGTTGGTGTCCGCCTGGACTCCCAGCTTCTGCAGGACACTGTGGATCTCAGTGGATGAGTAGCCCAGTTTCCGGAAGAAGTCCACCTTCATCTGTAGCTCCGCAGCCGATGCTTCCTCAGTGGCTGGCTCCTGGGCCAGCCCGGGGGTGCCCTGCCAGCTGTGGCTGTCCCCAGGCTCCCACAGACTCATGGCCGGGCTCCTTGCCTTGACAGGCCTCTCTCCGCAGGGGGTGCTCATAGTTGAGACTCCTGGCAGGGACCTGTCACAGCTCCTGTAGGACATCCATAAGGGTCAGGGGTGGGAAACGTTGCTCTCTCCCACCTCTTCTCCTGCTCCTGCTCCCCCCCCCCAACGCGACGAAGCAACATCCACCTATGGTACTGTGCAAAGCCATCTTCTGTACTACCTTATGCAGTGCTCTCAAAAGTTCTCCCGGAGAGGGAGTTTCAGGAAACTGAGGTACAGAGACATTAAGAACTTCCTCTCGTCATCCAGCTGTTAACTGGTGGCTCAAGGATTTGAACTCAGGCAGTCTGACGCTACCTCCTACCCTACTCCCACCCCCACGCCAACCCTGGGGATCCTAAAGGCTGGGGAGGCCTCAGAGGACTTCGCCGCGCCCCGACAGCTGCGGGGCGGGGCCTTCAATGGAAACCTAGGGTTGGACGTGCGCTCGGAAGCCGGGGCTTCCCCTCTGAGGCCATCTCCTTCGCCTAACCGCCCAGCACTCGGGGCCCAGGCCCAGACAGCGCAAAGCCAGTAGGGCCGGACACCCGGGCCAGGGGCGGCGAAGTTTCCGAGGCGACCCACCGTTGAGAAAAGTTGCTGGGAAACTCTGGTTGGCCGCCGAACGCTGGTGACGCGGAGGCTGTCCCGGCCCCGAGACCCGCGCGCGCTCGGCTCCCCCGCCCAGACCTCGGCCCCACTCCCCGGGTTCTCCTAGCTTGAGCTAAGTTGGAGGGGCTCCTGAAGACCAGTCAGCCTCGCGGGGACTAGCCCTACGTCCCTCTCGCTCTAATCGGACCCAACTGGAGTCCTCCCCACCCCCCTTCGACCAGATCCCGAGGCCCGCGCCCCTCCTCGCCGCGCGCACTCACCCAGCCGTGCGCCAGCTGCGGCCGGCGGCGTCTCCATGGGGCCGAGTCCCGGGGGCGAGGCCGGCGGCGCCTTTATACGGGACGGTGGGCGGGCAGGTGGGGTTAAGGACAGTGACGCGGAAGCCGGGCAAAGCAGCCTAGAGCTGCTTGGGGGATCCGCAGGGAGGGAGAGGGCGGCGCGGCCACCGCCCCTTCCTGCTCCGCCCACCTCCCCGTCCCGGCTCCTGGCCCCGCCCCCGTGGCCCGAGGGCTCCCGGCCGAGCCCGGAATCCAGGAGGTGAGGGCGCGGCAGGGGGCCCTGGGACGCTGTCCCTTCCCGTTGTCTCCAGGTTCGGGAGATGAGGAGACTAGGAGAGGAGGGCCTGGCCCGTAAGCGTAAGGTAAGCACAGAGAGAGCCAGGTATACGCATGTGGTCATGCAGTGATACAAATACGGGTACAGCCAAGTACATTCAGACCTAGGAACACTTAACAGGTACACCCTGACGGACTTAAGTTACAGTCAGATACACATTGAGTGAATCAGGTACACGGCGGTAAGTCCATAGTTATAAAGATAGGTACTCTCAGACACTTTCCAGATGGAGACAGGAACACTCAACAGGTACACTCTGACTGATGCAGGTATATTCAGGGACACCCTCACTGAAGCAAGTGCACAGAGGGTAGGGCCACACCCAGGGCCAGGTACACTTCTTCTGAAATCAGTGCTGAGATAGAAAGACAGGTTCAACCAGCAGATGCACAATGACTGAGGAGAAATCCAGGCAAAGGCAGATACACTTGCGCCAACCACCAGGTCAGTGGTCACAGAATACTGTCTTACACTCATGGGCTCCCCCACCGGAGGCAGCACCCACTCCTCCACCAGGATGCTTTCACGTTCCCAGGTCAATCAGTCATGGCCCCTCACATGCACAGCACTTTACAGTATCCACGTATGGGCTTAGGTGAGGGAGGCAGAGGTTATTATACTCATTTTACCGGTGAGAAGACAAATCTAGAAAAGGCTAAATTGCCCCAGCTAGAAAGACTTAAAACGGGGAACAAGAGCTCCCATTCCAGTGCACCAGGTGCCACCTCTGCCACTTTTGTGAGCACCAGTGACCTAGGGCCAAGGGGAGACTCTTCTGGTGGGAGGGTGGGGCCTGACCCCTGCCCTAAAGAGACCTTAAGTGGGCGGGGGGGGGGACAAAGGAAACACTGAACCCACAAGCTAGAGGACAAAGCCTCCGCAGTGCTACCAGCTCACTTTGCAGGTGGGGAAACTGAGGCCCAGGAACCCAAAACACTCAAAACTGAGTGCTTACTATGTGCCCATACTTTACGTACACTATCTGTCATGGATTGAATTATGTCCCTCAAAAAATGTGTGTATCAATTTGGCTAGGCCATGATTCCCAGTATTGTGTGGTTGTACTCCATTTTGTGTTTGTAATTTTACGTTAAAGAGGATTAGGGTGGAATTGTAACACCACCCTTACCCAGGTCGCGTCCCTGGTCTAATGTAAAGGGAGTTTCCCTGCGGTGTGGCCTGCACCACCTTTTATCTCTCAAGAGACAAAGGAAAGGGAAGCAAGCAGAGGGTTGGGGACTCCATACCACCAAGAAGAAGCACCAGGAGCAGAGCGTGTCATTTGGACCTGAGGTTCCTGCACACAGAAGCTCCTAGTCTGGGGAAGACTGACGATGATGAGGACTTTCCTCCAGAGCCGACAGAGAGAGAAAGCCTTCCCATGGAGCTGATACCCTGAATTTGGACTTCTAGCCTGCTAGACTATGAGAAAATAAATTTCTCTTTGTTAAAGCCATCCACTTGTGGTATTTCTGTTAGAGCAGCACTAGATGACTAGGACACTATCTCTGCCTTTATCATAGGCATGTGTCCTATAACGTAGGTAAACCCTCTGCCATCAAATCGATCCTGACTCATAGTGACCCTATAGGACAGATTGGAACCTCCCCATAGGCTCTCCAAGGCTGTAAATCTTTACAGAAACAGACTGCCACATCTTTCTCCTGTGGAGTGGAGTGGAGTGGAAAGTTGAACCACCGACCTTTCAGTTAGCAGCTGAGCGCTTAATCACTGTGCTACCAGGGTTCCTATAAGGTAGGTATTAGTGTTATATTCCAAATTTGGATACAGGTACATGATGCCTTTGAATTGTGGTGTTGGCGAAGAATATTGAATATCCCATGGACTGCCAGAAGAACGAACAAACCTGTCTTGGAAGAAGGACAACCAGAATGCTCCTTAGAAGCAAGGATGGCAAGACTATGTCTCAGATACTTTGGACATGTTATCAGGAGGGATCAGTCCCTGGAGAAGGACATCATGCTTGGTAAAGTAGTAGAAGGTCATTGAAAAGGAGGAAGACCCTCAATGAGATGGATTGACACAGTGGCTCCAACAATGCACTGAAACATAGCAACAATCGTGAGAATGGCGCAGGACCAGGGGCAGTGTTTCGTTCTGTTGTACACAGGGTTGCTAGGAGTCAGAACTGACTTGACACCTAACAACAACAAATGCACAGCTTGATGAATAATAGTAATCATAATGAAACATCCATACATCTGTTAAAAAAAAAAACTAAACCATGAATCACCTCTGACTCATGGTGACCCCATGTGTGTCAGAGTAGAACTGTGCCCCACAGGGTTTTCAGTGGCTGATCATTCAGAAGTAGATCACCAGGCCTTTCTTCCAAGATGTCTCTGGGTGGTCTCGAACCATAAACCTTTCTGTTAGCAGTGAACGTGTTAACTGTTTGCGCCACCCAGGGACTCGATGTATCTATCCATCACATAACTTAAAAAATCGACCAGTACCAGTACCTTTGAGGTCCTCTGGGTGCCCATCTTCTACCCTCACTGTTATAACCTCTTCTCCCCACCCTGAAGAACACTTCCTTAATTCTGTCTTAATTGTGCTAATAATTCCCTTGATTTTCTCTTAGTTTTACCACCTTTGTATGGATCTCTAAATAATATTTTCGTTTTGCTTTTTGTTTTTTTTTAGTTTATATAAATGGAATCATTCTATAGTTACATGACTTCCTTTTCTCACACAGCATTATTTTTTTAAAATCCATCTCTTTTGCCTGTGTACCTTCAATTCATTTATTTAACTATTGAATAGTATTTTATTTTATGAATATACCAGTAGTTGTTGATCCATCTCCTGCTGTTGGATATTTGGGTTATTTCTAGATGGGTTGTTTTTTTTTTTTGCTATTACAAAGAGTGTGCTTTGGATATTCTTATACATGTCTTTTAATGCAATTGTAGAGTTGAGGAAACTGGCGCTCAGAGATTGAGAAAGGCGAAGTGACTTGCCCAGAGTCACAGAGCTGGTGGAGTGGACTTCACACAGCTCTCTCCAAGGCAGCCCGTCTCCTAGTCTATACTGCTGGTCTACACTGCTGGTTCCAGGAGGCCACATTCCAGGAGGAGTACGTGTACATTTGTAGCCGGGTCCTGATGCTGTTCCTCTGGGCTTGTCTGACTGACCTAGCCATGTCCCACTTTGTTACTTGCTCATCTTTGAAGACCCCAAAGTGTTCCCTTCTCTGTGCTGCCCCCCCAACTCCCACACAGCAACCCCAGGGGCAACAGGCCTAGGAGAGAGGGAACGTAAGTCCCCCTGCTGTGTGCTAGCCCCCCATACACTGGGCACCTCACAAGTGTCAGGACCATGCCAGCTGAGCGCTGTATGTATCGTATCTCTAGCCTTCACAACAGCCCCTTTTACAGAGGAGGAGAGCTCAGTGACGGTAAGCATTTATTCATTGTAGTAACTACCTTTAAGATAGTAAAAAGATTAAGAGACGTGTCCAAGTTAATAATAATGATACGTCAAATCCAGTAATAATACATTAACTCACTGATGGCAGGCCCAGTGCCAAGTGCCTTGCAGATACTTCCTACCTTTGCACATGCCTTTCCCTCTGCCAGGAGTGCCCTTCCCTTCTCCCCTCCCTACTGCTGCCCAGCCAATTCCATTCTTCTTTTTGATGATGTCACCTCATCCATGAGGCCTGCCAAGACTCCTCCCTGGTGAGTTGCTTCCTCCTCCAGGCTCCCACAACACCCTGCCTCTGTCACTATGTGCCCCATTGTAATTGCCACCTACGACCTCCTGTAGGGCCAGGACTGGGCTGGGACTCCGCCTCTGCTCCTGGGGCCCCGTGCTGCCCAGTGCTGTGCCAGTGGGAGCCGGCGGAACTGGCAGTGAGTCACGCAGCTCCCTGCCCTCCCAGAGTTAGCCGCAGTCTCGCTCTCTTCCGGCTCATGAGGCGGCTCCTTCCTTCCAGCAAAGCTGACTCCCTTCTGCAGAACTCGGTGCTGCTGCTCCGGGGAACCCCTTCTGCACTTACAGCTGGATTTTGCAAACCTTGGCCCCAATCCCCGGTAGCCCTCCAGAGCTTAACAGTGCAGAGCCCACGCACCTCCCCTCTCCCTCCTGCCTGCCCGTCTTACCTGCTGGGCTTGCTGACGTCCGTCCTGAAGCCTGCCTGCCCTCTTGCCACCTGCGCACACCCGCCCGGCCAGCCTGGGTGGGGTCTGCTGCGCTCCAGGACCAGTACCCCTGGAGGTGAGGGCAGGAGCTGGAGAGGGAAGGGCCGCAGGAATTACCTTTAGCCTCCAGTTGCTCCACTGGGCAGCTCCGGCTGGTGCTGGCGAGGACACAGGAGCCAGCGGGCCACTTCAGTGGAAGTTGGGCAGGCTGCCCACGAGCCTTAGCAGAGTGACAGTAGAGGCGACAGTTGAATTCAACAAGGTCATGGTATCATTTAGTTCTCATATACTACTTCCAGATGAATGCAATTAGGTAAAAATGTTTTGGTGTCTTTATTTGTAAAACAAAGGGTAGGTGTTTGTGCAGTACAGAAGTCCTGTTACCCTTTAAAAAGAGGATTTTTAAAACGGCTACCAGTATTATCCCTGAACAAAATTACTGTTTCATATATTAAAAAAAAAAAAAATTCAACAAGGCCCCTGCATGTGTAGAGACTCCTGGTATATTAAATAATTGTCAAAGCAGAGCTACAAAAATGAAGGTATGTTTTAAATGGTAATTGAACAAATTAACTTTTTATCACACACTCAAATACAGCACAATATATTTGGACTATTGACAAGATAATTGGAGGATTTGCTTTAAAAATA